ACAGAGTGTCCCGCAAGAGTGTCCTACAAGAGTGTCCTTTGGACATATTAGTTTTTCGATCGTGCTTGCATTCGGGTTCGTGGGTTCCATCTTGTTATTTTTTGTCTTTCCTGAATCACAGGTGGGCTCCTTTGACCGGCGTCACCACGCACTTCAGCTGCCCCTGCCTGTTGAAGAACTACATAGCTCACTGTGACTCTCACTGCACTTCTGAGTGTGCGCATGGACGTAGGGCAGCAGCGTTCGGGGAGCAAACTCGGGAGATTAGAACATATTGGAATTCGTGAGGTGATCATGACTCAAACCAGTCCATGGGCCTTCACGACCATTCAACACCACAGTTGGTTGGGCCGGTGTCTCCATTGTGCAGGACAGGAGAGCAAGCTGTGCAGAGCAGGTCTCGGCCTCGACGGATTGCGGGTGCATGGAAAATGGATGACACCAGGAAGAAAACTGGTCACCTCAGTTACCTCTTGAGAAGGACTTCAGACAAGTTAAACATTAGACTCTCTGCCATGGGAAGCAGATAGTTTTTGACAGATGGAAAGGACTTGAAGAACAAACCCTGAAGATGCCTATTGTCCTTTCCCACGACTGTGGCTGATTGGCGACAAGCGCACTCAGGCTGTTTTTTGAGGAACTTGCATGAGAGGTGTTTGATTGTTGTTGAGAACTCGCACGCAGAGCAGCACCAAGTTTTGTGTCATTGATGCACCTGCAATTCTTTCTTCAAATGCCAAATTCTGCAGCCAACAAGCAACAGCAGCGTTGCGAGCCAGAGTACTGCATTAGACATTGATTGGGTCGAATTCCGGAAGTCAAGTCTCACTAGCAATCCAAAGGCCAATTCTATCGCGGAAAGCATTGCTGACCCTGGTTGGATCTGGCCTATCCCAAGGAAAAGCCAACAATCCTTCCAAGTGGCTGAAATGCGTGATGTTCTTTCCAGAAGTTGATGCGCTATTCATGAACTCCAGCTTTCCCATCATCCTTGACTTGGGTGACCCTCCAGCCTCCAGCCCACTCCGCACCACCCCTGCGCTTTGGACGTTGACACGTCCACGCACCCATGAAACGCACCATGCAACCCGACGGTCCGCGCTGCGCATGGCGGCGCCTGCAGCCGCTGTTGCTCATGGCCGTTGGCACACCGCGTGGCAGCCCAGATGGATGCAGCAATGGGGGAAGCAGAGTGGACCCTGTGTTGGAGCCAGCCATATTTAATTAACTGAATTTGTAGTTGCAAGCCGCAGAGCTGCAACTTGAACTGACTATGTCATGCTCGATGTTACTCACTACTACCGCGTCAGCCACAATTGGACTTTTGGACCTATATATTTAGATAGTCCACAACTCAGAGTACAGCCCTGCTTCCAATTCCATATTCAGACAAACATGAGTTTGACATTCACTATATAAGTAACTTGCCAGAAAGGATAGCATAGAATTCACATCCTTGGAGCCCTGGGATCACTACCATGGGTTTTGTTCTTCTTGTATGATGAGGGTCGTGAGACTCCCTGTAATTCGTTATGGATGAAAGTCGCTTGCCGTGATGACCTGTAGCTATAGTTGGGGTGACTAGTTGTGCCCTTCCCTGCCCGCCCGGCTGGGGGTGGCCCAAACCAGCAAAGCGTTGTCCAGAGAAAGAGTCTTGAATGGTTTGGGGAAATTGTTCGGGGACCACATCATATCAATGTCATTCAATGTCCAATAGAACATCATGCATTTTTATGGTTCCCACGTGGTTCATGACTTTGTTCATCAGCCTTTCCGTTGGTCCACCAGCTGGTCCACCGACAGGGCATGTGACCCTTGATGTACCAGGAGTTTCCTGCTAGCGGCCCACCCTGTGCCCCCTGCCCATGTGGCCATGAAGGGTATCACTTTCGACCGGAATGCCACCCATCAATGGCGCATTGCAAAGGGTGCACGAATGCTGGAAGCGGTGATTCCCAGGTTCCTGGCCTTTTGCAGTGAGCCAGTGCTGGCCGGGTCGGTGTGTCGAAGAGCAGCTCCGTTAGGGTCACTCTTGGTCATTTCGAGGTCCCCCTGACACATCATTACTGGTCAACCCTAAAAATGCAGTCGGACACGTTCTTTTTTGAACCTCAAGCATGCTTGATGTTGGAATCACTTTTGATGAACAACATTCCAGGAACAGCCAGAACCATGCAAACAGGCCTTTCAGCACGCAGGCTTCTAAAGCCCAGTCTGAGAGATAGGTTGAAACATGTTGAAACCAGCCTGAAAAGCTGGAGGTGTACATATGAGACTAAGAAGACGGACACGGAATTCCACAGGCGAAGGATGGTGAATGTTTAATTAAACGATGCTTTTGGGATTGACGAAATGTTTGCATTTCTGAAAACATGAGGCAGTGATTACAGTGTTACTTCACCAGCCAGTGAGGGTCAAGTTGAATGGAGACCTGCTCCCGGAATGACTAGGATGTTTGGAAGGTCTACGGCGACAGCGAGCTTCCCCAAGACGTTTCGGTTTTGACCCCTGATCCTGATCTCCGAACATCCATCAATTAGGCTCAAAAGCAAGTCCGAAACCGGTCCCCTTGGAGCCTTGAAATTGACAATATGATGATATGAGACCTCTCCGACTGTCCTGAACCACTGGTTGAAAGCGGCCTGAACGAGGCCTCCCATGTAGAGCGTGCGATCCCTCGACGTGCCAGTGGTGGTGTGGAGGTGTCGGTGCGAAGCTCAGGAGATGGATGAAACAGCATGAAGAAATGAGTTTCGACCTAGAGCAAACTCAGCAACAACAACAACATACTCTAGTAAGTAAGGCTGTAATGAATCATGATGATCCCAAACAACCTTGATAAAATAATTGAATCTGTCACTTGGAACTCCTGCAATGCTCCATATATCTAATCATTCCGGCGGCAGTTTGGCTTGCAGCTCTCAGAGTCTCAACAGCTATAGCGAGTTCGCACGACTGATCCTGTGATGAAGGCGGTTGATGGTGCAACAGCGTCGCCGCTCGACAGCTCAAATGCTGCAGGAGTGGATGGTGCCGAAAATAGTGCCGGTGCTACAGCAGCTGAGGATCCAGACACCCAGGCCTGGTGCGGGTGTGGCATCCATGGTCGAGTCAGTTTGAGTACCCGGTGGGGCAAAGGCATATTCGGCTAATCAAACTGGCTACCCTACCTGCATAATCTTGGTGATTCTCCAGCACGGATAGGTGTTATTGTATAGTTTTGGCGCTACGACAAACCAATAGAGGCAGATATCAGATATTTGGTACCACCCGGTGAAGTCCATCGATGCAGTCGCTGCCTATTTGCGACCGTCACTGAGGTGCAAAACACAAGGCGGGCGGCTGACATGACTTGCCACTCCGAGGCTGTCCGAACGTTGGCTTTGAAGTGTGAGCACTGGCCAGAGGCCTGGTGGAAAGCCGTGTGAATTGGAGACCGTTGCAGCAGAATCGATTGAGCATTGGAATTGACAAATATGGAATATGTGTGTGCACTCGATTCTTTAAGCCTGGAAGATCATCAAGTTTGCTTTGGAGGTTGCACTCTCAGTACATTTTGATTTGTTTGCCGTTTCACTGATTGGAGTTTCTTGTATGCGAAAGCCTGTTCGAACATCCTGAACATCCATAACAGTCTCCATCACTTTAATCCTTGAGAATATCCTAATCCGACCGTCTCCCCTGCTTCAGGCCAGCAAGGAGATGAGTGTGCTGGGTGAGACCGTCCGCTGCGCTGCAAAAAGCCTGATGAATGGGTCCGACCCAGGGGTAGCAGCGTGTCAGCACAAGCTCCTTGAGATCTTGAAGTCAAGCGAGAGATGCTTGAACGCAAAGAAAGCTTTTTGTGGGCAAGACCAACACCGAGGGCTCTTTGTGTGTTACACCTGGGGTATGGAGCTCTGACCCATTGCCGCCGTTGTTCACCATCCAACCCCATCATGGCCCGGGTGCAAGATATCCTTTGGCTAGTCTTCATGGTGCAGATCTCCTGCGAGTTGGCCGTTTGATCCACCATTTCCGCACAGTGCAGATGGCTGAGACGAAACTGATCCCCCTTTGGGTCTATATATATATATACCTGGGCCTTTTTGCATGGCATGCATGGCAAAGCATCATTTGAGAAGACAGTAAGCTTAAACATGCTTAGACCATCTTACACCAACATACGGTGCAGTTGGTTTAACCGACGTCCGGATTCTTGCACCATCTCTTTGTCTCAGAACGGAACTACGACCTGACGACGACCCTGGTGCGAGGGAGTCATCATTGTAGGGACCTGCTCCAAGTGGTCATGGACGCATATGAGCGCATCGATCGAATCTTTGACTTGACAGGC